GTGGGGGGGTGGGGGTAGAGATCTTCGGGGGGGGGAGATGCAGCCCAATATGGAGGACCAGAGAGAGACGCGGAAAGCCAGACACCTGCAGCCTGAACCAGCAACCTGAACTTGATGCTATGAGGAAGTTGCCTCCTGTTTGTTTTTGGTTTGGTTTTTGTTCCTCCTGTGTTCAGGGAAACGGATTTTAAATGTCAAGTATCAGAGGGGAGCCGTGTTGTCTGGAACTGTAAAAGCAGCAAAGAGTCCTGTGGCACCTTATAGACTAACAGACGTATAGGAGCATGAATGAGTGAATTCACCCACGAAAGCACATGCTCCTATACGGATTTTAAATGTTCCTTTGCCGGGAACCAGACTCCCTTGTCAATTTCCCTCTCACCTGGAACAACCCTCAGGACCCCGACCTTTGACCAGTTTGATCAGATCCAAAAGTGGGTGGGTAACGTAAACAGGTTTTCCTCCCCAGCGCCTCTTCACGGCCTGCGGTGCCGCTGCAGTGCCCTGCCTCAGTTTCCCTCTCCTAAAGGGCTCCTCAAAAACTCCACTGCCCCTGCTGGAGTGGGGGAGGGAATCCAATTTAAGGGTCTAGCTCCCTTCTCAGGATCGGGGCCTTCGTCCATAAACATGCTGGCCATGCTGCCTTCACCCAGCTGGGCCTTTCAATAGTTCAAATAGCTTGTTCTCCTTGAGCCAGGAGTCCCCGGCCCCCCTTCCCGGACAGTCCCTTTGCTCTCTGCACCTCTCAAGCCAGTCGCTGGTGCTCCTGGCCCTCCCTCGCTAAAATATTAGCAGCTCCTATGGCACGCTCCCTTAGACCCCTACATCTGGCCTGAGTTCGTCACATGACCTTTCCGTCACATGACTAAACTCATTCCCCCCACCTGGGAAGGTGTCCCAGGTGGGGCCAAGGGCCAGCCACCCTGTGACACAGTGCAATCAGCAGCCGCCTCTCCCAGCTGAGGGGTGATACCAAGTTAGAATCAGCGATCAGCTTGGCCCCCACCCTGTTTTTCCGGTTCCAAACCCATCGGCGTTCCTTGTCGAGCCGCTCAGTGGCGGGAACGCGAGCCTGATCAGGCATGATCAGGGGCAGGAATGCAGCTGCCGCACTGGGCAAGTCGGGCCTGACGTAGCGAAACCAAAGCCGAAGGAAGAAATAGGGGAATTTGCAGAACATGGGCCTCCCACTGCCCTGGGCAGGTGAACGTGGCCCAACCTCAGGGGAATGCGCTGAGCTGTGTGCGTGTTGGAGCGGTGACCCCATCTCGAGGCTCGGGAGCCCCATTGCAACCAGTAGGGGGTGCTCTTTCCCCTGCATCAGCCCCACTTACTAATAGCGGAGTTGCTCTGACGCTGCCAGAAAGCGGAGGAGTTCCAGCCCAGATCTCGGGGCTAACTGTCTTCATCTTCCATTAAAAATCCCCCGGAGCGTCAATATAATATGTCATCTTCTTCCCCTCCAGTCCTAACCTGCTGGGCAGGAAGTGCCGTGTTCCACCCCAGGAACAGGTGCATTTCAGTGATATTGCTGGGGACGGCTGCTAGATCTGCAGAGCTGGCAGATGGCGTTTGACGGAGACTCAGCGGGGCACAAATACGCCTGGAACCCATCATTTTACACACACACACACACACACACACACACACACACACACACACACACACACACACACACTACTA